GAACCCGGGCCGCACGCATGCCAGGCGAGTGCACTACCGCTTGAGCCACATCCCCAGCCCCTTCTTTTTCTACTTGTTAAAGATTTTTTAACTTTTTATTTGAAATTATTTTAAACTTAAATACATTTGCAAAAATAGTAAAAAGACTATTTGTATTTTCCTCTAGTCATCAATTATTTACATTTTGCTGCATTAATTTTGCTGTTCAATTGTGTACAAATATATACTCATCTATGTTTTTTTTCTGACCCATGAAAAAAGTCTCCTCTCTTGTGCATTAATACTACAGGATATTATCTTATATAACCACAGTGCAAACGCTGAAATCTAGAAATTTAACATCAACGATATACTATTCATATTCAAATTTATTTAACAGAATATTGTTTATAGCTTTTTTTGGGGGGAAGACACAGAATCCAGTCAATAAATACACATTGTATTTAGTTCTTGCATCTCTGTATTTTTCTTTGATCTAGGCAAACACCTAGTTAATCCCATCCCATCTGTGTGTGTGTGTGTGTGTGTATTTCACAACATTGACCTTTCTGAAGCATTCAGGCCAGTTGTTTTGAAAATGTCCCCTTGCTTTGCATTTGTCTGGGTGTTTTTCCATGACTAGATTCAGGCCAAACATGTTTGAATACTTCATAGGTGATGTGTCTTGCTCAGTGCAGAATATTAGGCATACATGTGAAGATGTGCACTTAGTTATGCTCTCTCATTTTCTTTTTGGTCATTGTTTAAAATGTTAGTTTTTTTAAAAAAGAATTGATTACATAAAATAGAGGAAGACTAGTGTAGAGTTGTATTTCTTTTGTAAACTGTTGGTTGCACCTATTAAGTCTGATTGTTTGGTTCAGCTGGATTGGAAAGCCGGCTTCCTGGTTTGCTAGTTGGCTAAGTGGGTTATTGCGATGGTCTCCTCAGCTGTCAAGTGGGGATAACAATGCTCCTGACTTCATTGGGTTGGTGAATTGATACATTTTGGACACTGATTTCAGAACAGTATCCTGGCATAACATAAGTATTTGATAAATAATTATTATCATCCCCCCCAAGTGCACAAGCTATCAAGTCTCTACCCTTGATCTATGCCCCCAGCTCCTCATGGCTAGTATTTTTACCACAATTTATAGAGGACGTAATACCTAATACACAGATATCATCACTCCAGACCCAGGACAGCGTGTGCAGATAGGAAGCGTTCAGAATAATTGTTGGCAGGACAGCCCTGTGATATAGAGTGCTATCGACGCAGTATACCGTTTTACAGTGAGGAAACTGAGGCTTAGAGAGGCGAAGTAGCTTATCTAAGGTCACACAAATCATTGTAAGTGTCAAGAGAGTGGATTTGAACTGGATTGAGGGGTGGGGATGTATTCTGTAAATCTTTAAGGGCTCTGAAGACATGAAGAATTGAATTGGAGCGCCAGGGCAGAGTTCTGTGGCACATACATACAGCAGGCGCTTAAAAATGTTTGTTGCGTGAATGAGAACGAAAATGAGTCACTTGATGACTGCCTGCTTGCTCTTCTGCGTAGCGGCAGGAGAACCCAGTCCTCCCTGTGTTAGGGCTAAGACCACGGGTTCATACGGGGGTGTGGCTTCTGATAGCCCCGCTCCTCGCCTCGCCTCTCCTGGCGTTCTCTGACGGCCGAGGTGTTTTGGCCCGTGGGTGGAGCCGTAGCCCCTGTCTCCTCCGGGGTCCGTGACCGGAAGCCGGGCGTCCAGGATCCCAGACAGCGGTCCGCGATGTCGGATAGGGACGCGGGGCAGAGTGGAAGCTCCTCGGGGGCCCGAGCGGCGACTGTCAGCGACATCCACGAGCTGATGCGTCGCAAGGAGGAGATCGAGGCGCAGATCAAGGCCAATTACGAAGTGCTGGAGGGCGTGAGTGGGGGCTCGGAGCGCTGCCGGCGAGGGCATGGGAGGGCCGGGGGCCGGGAGACCGGGAGGCCGGAGCCCCGCTCGGGCGCGGTTCGTGGGTCTTCCGCTCCCGGGGAGGCCCGTGGGCAGCAGGCAGTGCGGGCCTCGGCGCCGGCAGCTTCAGCCGCTGGGTTGGCAGTTCTGGCACGCGTTTGTGGCGTCTTCTCTCTGTGCCTGGCGCTGTCGTTGGCCTGCCCGCTTAATCCTCGTGGCGACCCTTGAGGTGGGAGCTGTTCTGTCCCCACCTTAGGGAAGGGGTCGTCGCGGCGTTCCTTCGACCTGCCTGGAGCCACAGAGCTGCAATATTAGCAGAGGCAGGGGCGGTAGTCAGTGTCGACAGGTAAAGTTGGCTTTGCTGATGTTTTACCTCAGCGTCCACTGAGTCTCAGTATAGGTGAGAATCACCTGGCATCTGGTTGATGCTGACGCTGATAGTGTAAGGAGTACGTCTTGACTGACAAGGCCTGATATTCTTTTTGTCCAAGGAAGAAACAGAGACCCAGGGTGGGGCAAAAGCTTGCCTAGTTCCGCAATGGCAGGAGTGGAGTGCTTCTCAGGTCTGTCTGACTCCAAAGGAGGGAGTGTTCTTTATGCCACTTGGTGTAAGACCACAAATCACTTTGCAGTGGAAGAGGAGGCTAATTATATCCAAATAGGTGTGATGGGAAAAGATGTATCCTGTGGAGGCCAAGGTACCTTTACTGGGTGCACACCTGACCCCTGAAGGGTGCTGGGTTGTGGGTTTTATCAGGAACCCCGACAACTACACCATGAAGTTGGTAGTGCCCTTGAAGCTCGGAAAAGGGAAGTCACTTGCTCAAAGTCATGTGTGGGATTCAGACCACAGATCTGTTCAGTCCAGAACTTTCAAGAAGATTGCCTGCAATTTCTCCAATCTGACTTACTTTTTCTACCGCAGACAGAACTATCCACACCTTATACAATTATTACATTGATATTGATATTACTCAGATATTTTTATTTTAAATAAAAATTTGTAATTCCTCTGTATATGAAAAATTTCGATTTCTTCCCTCAAATATGAGGTACATATTAAGATGATACTGTACATCAATTGCTTCTACCTGTGCTTTGTTGCCTGCTGAAGGCTTTATGCCTGAAATCCTACTCTGTTTGATTTTCCTTTAATGGAGAGTTAAAAGTCTAACTTTTTTTTTTTTTTGTTACCAGGGATGAACCCAGGGATGCTTAATCAGTGAGCCATGTTCCCAGCCCTTTTTATTTTTTTTATCTTGAGACAGGGTCTCATTAAGTTGCTTATGGCCTAATTGACTCTGAACTTCCAATCCTCCTACCTCAGCCACATGAGCCCCTGGGATTATAGGTATTTGCCAGGTGTCCAGCTCATTTGAATTTCTTAGAATAAAGCATAGGCATAAATCTAAGTGAACTTGAGTTAGTTAAAACCTTCTTAGATATGACACCAAGAGCACAAGATATGAAAGCAAAAATGATAAATTGGATTTCAAAATTAAAGTCATGTTTCAAAGCATATAATCAAGAAGATGAAAAGACAAGCCATAAAATGGGAAAATCCTTAGAAAATATCTGGTAAGGGTAGCATCTAGAATTTAGTAAGTGCACTTACAACTCTATAGTAAAAAGACAACTCAAAATATAAGCAAAGAATCTGAATAGACATTTTCCAAAGAAAATATAGTAAATACAAATGGCCAATAAGCACATGAAACAGTGCTGACTGTGAGTAGCTGTTGGTGAAATGCAAATCAAAACCATGGTGAGAAGCCGCCCTCAGCCACTGGGATGTCTCTCATAGAAAGACAAGTAATAACAAGTATTTCAGAGTTAGTGTTGTTTAGACCTATGTGTGAGCTGCCACTGGTGTAGGTCCCACCCTTTAGGAAGCAGTGTTGATTCTGTGAGGCCAGTCCCTCCTGGTGTTTGTGGGAAGATAGGAGACACATACCAGAGCCCTCTGTGTTGAGGACGAGTGTTGAACCCTCTCCCTCAACAGGGAACTGGTCTGGGGGTACACAGAGGCTTCCAGAGAAGAGGTGAGGAAAGTGAACAGGTAGCTCTGTCAGTGCTGTGCACACTGGGAAGCTTGTCTCTGGAGTGACAAATAATTAGACTCCATTTGTTATTTTCTATGCATGGTAGTTTCCTGGGGCCTCTCTGACAAATTGCCACAAAGTTGGTGGCTTAAAAAGAATTTATTCTTGGGGCTGGGGATGTGGCTCAAGCAGTAGCGCGCTCGCCTGGTATGCGCGGGGCACTGGGTTTCCATCCTGAGCACCACATAAAAATAAAAAAAGATGTTGTGTCCACCGAAAACTAAAAAATAAATATTTTTTAAAATTCTCTCTCTCTCTTAAAAAAAAAAAAGAATTCTCTTTCAATTTTAGAGGCTGAAGTCTAAAATCACGATGTGTCAGTAGGATTGGTCCCTTCTGGATTTTTGCTCTCGGTTCCCGTCCTGTGTCCTGTGCCCTATGCCCCCTCAGTTTCCGGTCGCACCTGCAGTCCTTGGCTTGCAGCTGTGTGACCTCAGTCCCTGCCTTCATTTCCACCTGGCCTCCTGTCCAGTTGTGTCCAGCTCCCCCTTTGCCTTTCTGTTTCAAGGACACCGTCACTGGTTTTAGGCCCATGAGGAATCCAGGATGATTTTGTCTCAAGAGCCTAAGCTTAATCACATCTGCAAAGACCTTTTCCCAGATAACGTCACATTCAGAGGTTCTGGGGGTGAGGATATGGTCATATCTTTGGGGGGCACTATTCAGCCCTCTACACTATGGATATGCCTGGCTCTGTGCTGAGTGTCCACAGAGCTCAGGTCATTAGTTCTTTTTTTTTTTTTTTTTCTTTTAAAAAGAGAGAGAGAGAGAGAATTTTTATTTATTTATTTATTTTTAATTCAAAAATCTTATTTTTTTTTCTTTTATTGGTTGTTAAATATTTATTTTTTAGTTTTTGGCGGACACAACATCTTTTGTTTGTATGTGGTGCTGAGGATCGAACCCGGCCGCACGCATGCCAGGCAAGCGCGCTATCGCTTGAGCCACATCCCCAGCCCAGGTCATTAGTTTTTGCAGCAGGGAGGTGGGGGGCGAGTCTGTTCCCATCATGCAGTGAGGAAACTGAGGCATAGAGAGGGGAGGGCAAGGCACAGGCGCCAGCAACTCCATGGTAGAACAGGGACTCAAGTTGTCTAACCAGGTACAAAGCCCCAGCCTTACACCGTGTGACGTGTTTGGTTATTTTTATGCACTGTCCCTTGATTTATGTAGGAAGAGACTTTAAAGTAGTAAGACAAGTTTTGTGTGGTGGCACATACCTCTTCCTGTAGTCCCAGCTTCTTGGGAGGCTGAGGCAGGGAGATCACTTGAGCCCAGAGGTTAGAGGCCATCCTAGGAAAACTAGTGAGACCCTGTCAAAATAAAATGTTAAAATAAATGTATTATTTTGAATAGGGAATACATTCCCATTGTCAAAATTTGAAGCCTGCAAAAATATGAAAGAAAAAGATGAGATGAAAAGTCTTTTTCCCACCCCTGACAACAGTGCCCCTCCTTGGAGGTCGCCAGTAATGTCTTTATCCTTCCAAGGACGAAAAGCATCTTGGAAAGCCCTTGTAGAGCTTTTAATTTTTAGAAGACTGAAAACTCAGCCACAGCTGGGAGCTCTGTGGGGTTTTCACCCCCCTCCAACTTCAGGGTGACTAGCTGGGTGCCAGCTGTCTGGGGGAAGGAGGATTTGGGGGAGTTGGTGGAGAGGTGGGCTCATGGTGATGCTCGGGGGGAACCTCAGTTTTGTGTTCCCTGTTTTAGCTTCAGAAAAGAACATGTTCATGCATAATATTTATAATTTAAATATTAAAGATGAAAGGCTAGTCCTACCTCACAGGTAGTTGTGAAGTCATGAGATAAGCACCTCTCCTGCACCTGTATTACAGCTCAGAAGGGCAAGGGTCTGGAGAATGGCTTATGAAGAACGCTCCACCTGAGACATCTTTTTGACCACATGTTTTTCCTCCAGCAAAAAGGAGTTGGGATGAACGAGCCACTGGTGGACTTCGAGGGCTACCCCCGGGCAGACGTGGACGTGTACCAGGTCCGCACCGCGAGGCACAACATCATCTGTGAGTGGCCCTCATGGGTTCCTTGTTATATGGCGGGATGCTAAAGGCCCATGAATGAAATGGCCTATATTCAGGATATCTTCTGACCCCTCTCCTTGATGCGATTATCTCACTGCCCCCACCAAGGGACAGACTGAAGGGAGCAAGTTAGATTCGAGGGTTCTACATGGAGGCTTTCATTTTTTTCATTTTGTTCTTAAGAAAACTTCGTTGATCTGCAGAAGCGCAAGTCCAGTGCTGCTTAAGGTCCTGGTCAAATCCATTGTGTGTGTGTTAGGGAACATGTTCGGCTGTTTAGGGTAGTGACCTGACTATGGTCACTCCAACAAAAGACATGAAATGTGTACACTGGGCTGCTGAGCACAAGTCCAGGTTCTGCATCTCCTTTGGGGTCAGTAGCCTGTGTTGGAAGCAGGAAAGAAAAGGCAGGAAGAGATGGGGAGTCCAGCGCCAGCCAGCACCCCCTCTCTAGAATCTTTTCTGCAAGTCCCGCCTCCTGCCCATTCTGTCAACTTCTCCTTCCCCTCGTAGGCCCTTCTGCCCATCAGGAAAGCTGGGGACCAACTGCAGGCGCAAGCGCATCACTGTCCTGAATGAAATCTTTTATGCATTCATTTGCTTTTAGCTAAGGGACTGGGAGAGAGCAGAGGCTGGGTGCTGGTTTTCTGTTTCTGTTGTAACAAATGCCCACAAGACTTCTTGCCTTTAAACCACATACATTGAGCCTACTTTTCTGGAGATGAGAAGTGCAGATGGGTCTCATTGGACTAAACTCAAAGAGTCCGCAGGGCTGGCTCCCTGTGGAAGCTCAGGGAAGGTCCCATTTCCTTGCCTGTTCCTGCATCCAGAGACCACCTGTATTTCCCGGCCCCTGGACATCTCCGTCTTGAAGGCCGTTGCATTTCCCCTGCCTCTGATTCTGTCTTCGCCTCTTTCTCTCACTCTCCTGTGTCCTCTTTCACTTCTCAAGACCACTGTGATGAAGGGCCATCTCCCCATCTCAGGGTCCTTAACCACGTCTGCCAAGTTCCTTTTGCCATGGCAGGTCAGGTGTTCACCGACTCCAGAGATGAGGCCGTGGGCACTGTGGAGGCCATTCCTCACCCTGCCCCTGGTAGGCAGCGGTGGGTCTTGACCATGGACTCTCATTACAAGGGAATTTATCATCTGTGCTTTTCACTGAAGGAATAACATTTAATCTGTTTGAACCCTGGTTTCACCTGCAGCATGCCCTGGTGGGACATGGAACCCCAGGGTTGACAGAGCTGATGTTCCCCACACCATAATAAGATAATGGGACACCTTTTAAGAGTGTCAGTTGACCCTAAAGATTTTGGTAAAAGAAGAACTTCATTTGTAGATTAAAATAAATAGGAAATAGGAAGATACAGAGAAGGAGAAAGCCATGTTAATATGACCAGGCTTGAGGGAAGTTTGGGGACTTTGTCTAAACCTTAGAGTCCCTGGGATGTGGCAATGTGCCTCTACATTAGGAGGACCCTAGGGAGATTGCAGGGGGACTGAGCTACTGAGCACCTGCTGACTTCTTTTTCTCCAAATGATTAGTTTGATATTCTAACCATTTATTAACAGTTTCCTCTTTCCTTCTAATTTAAAATGCTAGTGTTGCCACATACCACATTCTCACTCATGCTTAGGTCTATTCTTGGTCTTTTTTCACTGTCCTATTGATCTATTCTTTGGGTGCCCTATGGTGCCATCTTAATGACTTTACTACACATAAGTTCTGTTGAGCAATTCTTCCTCATTGGTCTTCTTTTGAAAAACTATTCTCACAAGTTTACTTTTTAATTTTTAAAAAATTTTTGTAGTACTGGGGATTTGAAGGGACATTTTACTGCTGAGCTCCATCCTAAGCCTTTTTTATTTAATTCTGAGGCGAGGTTTTGCTAAATTGTTAAGATTGGCCTTGAACTTGTGATCCTTCTGCCTCAGCCTCCTGAGCTGCTGGGATTATTGGCATGGCCATGGGCTCACATTTTGTTTTTGTGTATGTGTATTAATTGTGTAGAGTAAAGGCTGTATTGTGGCATGTTTGTACATATGTGTAACATACTTTGATCATATCCACCCTTTACCCTCTCTTACCCTCCCCTTTTCTCACTAATCTATTGTATTTTTAAAACGGGCTTTATTTTTTAGAACAGTTCAGATTTATGTAAAAATTGGGAAATTAATGTAGAAAGGTCCCACATATTTTGTACCCAGTTTCCCCTGATTAGTAGCTTATTAGCCTGGTATATTTGTTGTAACTGCAAATTTGGTTTTTGAAATCTACTGCAGAAAGATTTATCAAAAAATTTTTTCAATTCTGATAGAATTGTAATATATTGTGAATAAAGGCATTTATTCTGTTACCCAGTAGTTGTGTATTAAGTATTGACTAGGTGTTGGGCGTTGATGGGGATTCTTGGGACCCTCATGGACCTTTCCACATGGTGGTGGACTTTCTGTTTTTAGCCTTCCTGCCAGGATGTGTCTCCATTTCCTCAGTTCTGGGTTCTTTCCTCCCGCCTGCTCCTATGGGTTGAGTACTTGAGTCCTGGAATATCTGAGGACCTTGCCTTTGCTCCATAGTGACAGGGATGGAGTTAAGCCCACAGTCGAAGGCTCCTGGAAAGTCTGACAGGCTGTGTCCCACAGATGCCAGATGTGGGTGACAGTGAAGGTGTGCCCAGGCCTTCTTTGAAACTCTGAAGAGGGATTTGTGTGGGCAAAGAGGTGGAATCCAGAGCAGCAGGATAAGTTGTTTTGAGGTTAAAAAACAGTTATCAAAATGCCAGTGCTATGCTGGACTAACCTAGGCAGGACTTGTTTGACTGGCATGGTGATTATTTTGAATTAGCCTTTTGTACCAGAAAAATCAGAGAATTTTATCCATAAGCTCTGTTTCCTGTTGTTTTTTTTTTTTTTTCTTTCCCTAGGAAAACCAAGGATTTGGAGACATGGTCCTTGCCTCCCAATCGCTCTAGTTGGATAGAGCCCAGTAGCAAGGAGCCTTTAGCCAACAACTGCGGCCTCTCCCAGACAGGGTAGAGTGCCCCAGCATGTATTATGAGGCTTATGCCTCAATTTTCTTTCTCAAACTATAAGGAGCAAAGTGACATCTTTCTTGTGCAGAGCCCGCCTTACTCAATTTCTTGAGCACCATGCTTGCCTTTCACTCACAATTGAGGTCTACATCCGCTCTCCCTTAGGTCTCAGCCAGGGCTTCCCTGCCTTTGGGAAAACCTGCCTGATGTCCTCGACAGGCTGGGCCCACACTGGGGTCACTGCATGTTATTGTGGTG